GGCCGCTCCTCCTCCGGCCCGGCCGGCGGTTTCCGCGGGAGGCTGCACCGACCAGCTCGCCCCACGGAAAGGCAGAGGCAGGTCTCCCCTCCAGCCTCCGGCAGGGTCAGGGAACGACAAACTGCCTTTCTCTTCGGAGCTGCCCTAAAATCTTGAGCCTGCTTTTAGCATCACAGATGTCAGGTCTCTCTCATTAGCAGTTAGACACCTTTCCCCCGCCAATAGATGAGAAAAGTTATCCTTTGTTGCAAGCGAAACCAGCCTCCTCCCGATCCACGGGAACAGTATTGGAAAGAACCAGCTGAAGGGAAAACGGCACACTCAACACCCCAACACCTGGCAGAAAAAGAGTGCACCAGGTCCCGAGAGGGACTGCCAGTCCTGGTGGGCTTGCACAGCATTCAGCACAAGTACGGTGGGCATTTCAGCAGTGCCAAAAAGGCACAACTGCTTTCTGTGAGACTGCTGCAGAAAAAGGTTAGATTTCAGTCTTAGTTCAGTTGACAGACCTGACCAGACATACCCAGCCTCCAAAGCCAGCTGTACCTCTCCTCAGTCATTACACTGGGAACTCCTGTTCATTTCGAATATTGTTGATTTTCTGGGCTACAACGAGTAGCAGAGCTGGGACTGGCAGGGAAAGGAAGGAGGGCAAAACAACAGAGGATTCTCCTGATACCTATAATTTTAAATTGACTTTTTTCCCTTTTGACTCTAAGTGCTCCCTAATTATTTTCTACAACAGTTTATTTTCCATTTTGTTCTCTCTGCTTGTTACCAAGGCAGTTGTATTTTTGTCCTTTTTTCAAAACATGCAAATCTTTAGTTTTTATAATATTTGAGCACTTGCATTTCTATTGATTAGACACTCAACTGATTGAAATATTAAAACACAAAAAACCCTGCTGTGTCCAAACTTGTGTCCATGCTGCCTTTTAACAGGTAAGAGTAACACCTCTCTGAATTCCCCAGGTTACCTCAGCCACAAAAACCATGGATGCAATCAGGATACTTTAAAGTTGAATCTGTGCTAATTAAGGGTGGGAAGAAAGCATGGATCAAAGCCCAGAAGCCTTTGGGCAAAATGACATGTCACTTGTGGTCACCTCTCTGGTGTCCTGGGGGGCTCCACCTTGGGCCTTTCCTCACTGCAGCATAAAATGTAAACTCACCGTTAAGTGGCCTGAAATATTAAGGCAAGTAAAGGTTGAACTTCTCATTTAAGCTTTCTGGAGACCAAACCTGGCTTCAAAACCCACTGAAGAACTGTGCCAGTGCATTTGCACCAGCCCCCATTTGGACTCATCCCAAGCCCACACAGCACAATTCAAAGGAACGTGTGGATCACTGGGACAGTGTTTGCACACGGGAGAGAAAAAAACTCCTTCTGCCAAATAAGTGCAGATGGAAAAAAATCTAATTGTGCTTTCTGGAAATGCTGTAGTAATTGGGACTCCACCTAAGTGTAACCCCTAGAAGAAAGAATTTTGTCCCTTTGCCAGAGAAATGATCTCTAGAGAAGCAAGTCTCTGACACTGTGGAGGATCAAGCTGCACGTCTGCGTTGGGGACTAAATACTTCCCTGATTGAAACAGAAAAACAAGCCTATCAGAAGGGTAAGAATTCAAATAGACTAATTCAGTTGGTAGGGACCTACAAGGATACTAGATAGTATACCTGCCTGACCACTTCAGGGCTGACCAAAAGTCAAAGCACATTTTTCAGAGCTTTTACCAAATGCCTCTCAAACACAGATAGACTTGAGGCTCCAACCACCTCTTTAGGAAGCCTTTTCCAGTGTCTGACCACCCTCTCAGTAAATAAACACTTCCCAATGCCTAGTCTAAACCTCTCCTGGTGCAGCTGCAAGCCATTCCCACATGTCCTGTCAGCGGATCCCAGGATGAGATCAACACCTCCCTCTCCACTTCCTCAGGAGACTCAGCCTCCTTCCCTCCAAACTAGACAGGCTGAGCTCTTAGCCACTCCTCATAGAACATTCCTTCCAGCCCTTTCACCAGCTGTGTTCCCCTCCTCCAGACACCCTGAAGCCCCCCAACATCCTTTGTAAATGGTGGGGCCCAGCACAGCACACAGCACTCAGGGGGGCTGCACTAATACTGCACTTGGAAACTCCAGTGTCCCTATTCCAAGTACCATATCCTATCTCTTGGAACTCACCTGTGTTGCAAGGACAGCTTCTCTTGCAACATCTCCCATGGTACCCCTCCTCTTAGTCTTGCCTGCACGCAGCAGGGGGGGCAGGGAGGAAGGTGCTGTCCCTTTCCCAACCACCCTTCCTCAACATGGATTCAGGCCAGGCCCAGCACTAGTCTCCCACTGCCTCCCCGCAACTCCACATGGAGAAGAGACGAGTTCTGCACTTCACTGGGAAGGCACTGGATAAAGCAACAGAAGGACACCATTTCAGGTAACACTGCAGTGAGGGTACCTCCTTCACACAGGCTGTTCTTGTGTCCAGAGACAGCAGCGGGTGCTCAGTTCCTAAGTCAACTCTTAAAAAAATCTGACCCAGCAGTGGGGTGCAGGTCATAGTGATGAGTAACTGTGGTTCCTCATGGTGATGAGATGATCATGATGCCTTAACGCTAATCCTTTGACGCAAATTATGCTCAGTATGCATTTCACCTAGGTACAACATGCAAGATAAAAACCAAAATCACACAGCAAACTGGTGTCAGATTCCTAAGGTATAACTCGTTAAAATGGCTTCTGGATGAAAATGGCAAAGCTCTATGTAAGATGTTTAATGGACCGTTTGCTTTAAGTAGGGTCTCATGCAACCACGAGGCATGCAGGGGGCAGCGTGCAGAGCTGCATCCCCCTCACACCACCCTGAGCACCTTCAGAACCCAGCAGCACTACTGAGGCTTGGCTCACCCCTGCTCCTGCAGCACAGCTGGAGGCCAGCACTGTACCTGGCTAGAAGAAAGAGATCACTTCATCACTGACATGCAGTCTGCACAAGCAGACACAAAGAGCGATTTAAACCAGCTTTCCTTTATCAAAATACAGACCTGAGAGGGCGCACATCCAGGCAAAGCAGCAGAGCAGCTCAGAGCAAAGATGCAACTGGCACCCAGCATTCAGCAAGACATGACACCTTGACTTACAAGATACCCTCAGTATCTTTTACTGCATGTACTTTCTGATTAACCTTTTTTAATTGAGGAAGTGAACAGAAGAGTGTAGCCAAAAATATGGTGTGTAATTAGTTTAATAGCATTGTTGAACAGTAAATCCACTCCTTTAGAACAGTGATAATCAGTATGTTTCTCAAACCACGGAGAAATCTCGGGTTCCCATAAAACAAAATCTTCCACAGAAGCAAGTAGAACACATTAATCTTTAAGATTGTTGTCACTAAAGGTCTGTTTCAGTAAGTGAGAACAAAGATCAGAAGCTAGTATTATGGTCATAAAATAAAAAGTACTTCTTTAAAACAATTAAGCAAACATTCCCTGAGAATTAAGAATCAGCAACAACTATTGCCAGATTGTATTTTCTGTTACAGTGCAGAAATTTTACAGCACTTACTCTCCTTTCAAAGATCATACAGGAAGATTAAAGGCCACGGTTTTTATTTACCATGTGCATCTTCTGGATGTGCTCATTTTTCAAGAAAATTAAAGCCAGACACAGCAACCCACAGCACTGAGGCTAACCAGGACATGAGGGGAGCAAAAGCAGTTAAGAAAAGGTTTAATCCATGTGTTCGGTGTGCATGTTCAGTATTTTTTTACATTTTTCCCCCCTGTGCCAGGATTTCAGAATTTGCCTTTCCAACTGATGGGCTACAAAATAATTTTGGAATATCCTGCCACCCCCTCAGAAACGTGCATATAAAATACATACCCACCACCAAAATGTTCCACTCACTCAGGCATGTAACTTGCAGTCTAAGCAGAAAAGGGAGATAAAGCAGAAGGGTGGAATAACTATTAAAGTTGAAATAATCAATTTTAATGCCTAAAATTAGATTTTATGGCCCATGGCATCCTGAAGGCTGTACACAGCACAGCTTTATTCTCATATCATTCCTCAGCAGACAGAACAAAAGTGCAGTAATCATTTGGAAGTTGGCACAACACACTGTCACAAGAAAAGAAAATCTACATTTTGTTATTAATTCAGCTGGAGAAAATGGCATTCTGGGGTCAGTTTGCACTGACCCAGAAAAAGACAAGATCCTATCAGGATTCAAATTCTCAAGGTGTAGAAGAAAGTTTCTTTCTCTCTTGCCCAAACACCAAATCAATATATGTGTATCTCCCTGTGACCACCCGCTAGCTCCCTGGCTCTTTCTCCAAGATAGCACCATTATTCTTTCCTTGCAAGCTGCAGGTCTTAGCTCTGCTAAATTCTTTATTTCTTCAAAGCATTCAGCAGACCTGGCAGTGTCTGCTAGTGCTTGATGTATGAGTGCTACAACCCAAAAGCGTACAGCATGCGTTAACAGGAGACTATGAAAACCCAACCAAAGATCTGCAAAAATCTGATCTGCAAAGAGTCTTTTGATAGAAAAGATTGTTGATATGGGGTAACAGCAGAAGGGAGACAGCTTTAAGAAGGTTTAAAAAAACCCCCAGATTATCAGGAAACCAGGAGAGAAGCCTCACATATGTGCATGAGAACTGCTGGAATACCACAGCTGGATCCTGAAAGAGTATTCAACTCTTGGAAGCTTCTCTGTGGAGAAGCATAACAACTGAGCATCTTTATTTGCCCCAGAAAAACTCAGATGAAAATACAAGCATGTGGGCTGAGGGGCCAAACGGGTCATGCAAAGTACTTGGCATACCTGTGACATGTTAAGCATGTTCTTTAAAGTCTAATAGATTGGCCAGCCTGGATCTGCTATGCTTCTGTTGCGCAGTTAATCTGCATGTTAGTAAGTTCAACTGGTCTGGACACCAGCTGTCCCTTTAGTCAGGCTGCCAGAGGTCCAGAAACATGGAATGATGGCCACAATCCTCTTCCATCTCTTGGAAGAACTTTCTAAGTGAAAATAGAAGATAAGTGTAAGAGAAGAGATGATGGTTGTCCTACTTCTGATTCTTGAGAATTATGATGCAATTACTGTTGTATAGATTTCATGTTTTGCTAAGTGTTTCCTCTGTCATCAAAGTATCTTTCTGCATTAGTTCACCAACTGTTTTACTCAAGGAGACCTAGCAGCAAAAATGTATTAAAATAATCCTGGCCATCTTTGTGAAGCAGCAGATGAGAGGTCAGACAAATCAGCTGGCTATAAACAATGACACTTGCTGTCTATCAAAAGTATTCATCATATTGCACAAGAAAACAATGCAACATGAGCCACAGCAAAACATATCAATATAAATGCATCCGAGTGACACAAACCTCATTGACTTTGCAGCACTTCACAGTGAAAAGCTGTTGTTTTTTTTTCTTTTCCACAATGGCATTATCTCAAAACACACTGCCAGTTATTTTTATTCTTTAATAAGGATCAAGAAGATTCAGGCCTCTGCTCTCACCATGAGCCAGACACACCCCAGAACTGTGCTGGTGATTCTCTCTGGAGACACCAGCTTCCACCTGCCACGGCCACTCGCTGGACACTCTGCTGACTTGAGCACCTGCTCAGCAAGCCAAGCCCCAGGAACCCCAGGTGCTCAAGTGCATGACTCTCCATTCAGGCAGGGTTTTACTCAAAAAGAGACACTACGGTTAGTGACACAGTTGACACTTCAGCACCAGGCTGGCTGCGGGGAGATAAAAGAGGTTCCTGGCATGTCAGGTCTTCACTTTTCTCTAGACAGGAGCTGCCAGACAGGATGGAGTGTAGATCTTGACTAGCTCGTCCCAAGCACAGTCGACCACCTTCAAAGCAAACAACATCTATTTAGATCTTTCAGAAGTGTAATTTCTTACAAAAACCAGAAGGGAGTTGTAGGACATGAATGCATATTGTGGAGTTAATGCTGGTTGGTACTCTGATTTACAGTGCTTCAAAATAATGCAATAATAAAGTTGGTTTTGTTTTCTTTTTTAAACCTTTGTCTTAACTTTACTGAGATACATGAAAATCAACAATCTCCTATTTTTCACACTACCCATTAACACACTTCCTGCATCACTTCATGATCAGATCTGAACAAATTTCTTATACTCACAGGTATGGAAAATTGTTATAGAAATTTCCCTAATGGAGATTTGAGGGATGGAAAAACAAAGAAGATGAACAAAGTGATGCAGGAAGTTTCTTGAAGACTTAAGTCAGAACTTCAGTCTCAGACTGAGAAGCTCTGAGATTGAGGTATTGTCTGGTGGAGAGGAGATATGTCTGTCTGCTGAGCATGGAGAGCCTGGGGTGGTGGTGTTGCTCCAAGCACTACCCAGGCCCCCACTTGTCTGATGAGAAGTGGTGGCACTTGTGCCAATGGCATCTCATGAACACAGCAGCTGATTTCAGTATAACTGAAACGTTCATGAAGTCCTAAGCTCTGCTCTAGATGCAGACCTAAACCTACAATCACCAAACCAGAAGGTTAACCTAATTCTATAGCATTAATAGATTTTAATAAACAACACGATTCTGCAGAGGTCTACAGAATGCTTTAGGCTTGACAATTATTTGATGAGTAGCAAACCTTTAGGGTCTGTAGCACTTTAGGATCTGTAACAAAGTGAAAGGGGTAACCACACTAACAATGACTCAAGCAAATTCATAAAATGTTGTGGGAGGGAAGAACTAAGGCAAAGGGAAGAAGAAAGAAGAGAGCTGAAGAGAAGAAGCTGATGAGCCCCACATTACATGCCAGTAAATCTGGCTGAATCCATCTTTCATGATCTTTACAATGTCCTCTTCAAGTTGGGATCACAAAGGATATGGCATTGGATCCTCTGCACAAGCTTTCTTCTGCTGCAGACTGCAATTCCTGTTCTCTTCTAGAGCCAGAATGAACAGCTGCACACTAAAAATTTGGAAATCCAACCTCACTATTTTATTTCAGACTATAATTAGCCCGTTTTGTGTTTACTATACTGCACTATTATTCATTTTTATTACTTCCTTAGCTAGTTCTACTTAGCTATTTGACATGCTTTCCATATACATCTAAATGGATAAAAAAAAATCTCTTGACAAAGTGTCTGTCTATTCATATGACATAATAGAGCTTTGTACAATATAATGTTCTGCTGCATTGCAGTCCCCAAAATCATAGCAGAGAAAATGTGAGTTCTCAACTAAACATTGTGTAGAAACTGGCAATCCACTGTTTTATTAATACTCTCCACAGCTCTGGATCAATATCTGTATTTCTATAGGCAACACTTTCTACTTTATCATAAAGAAACAAGAAATAGAGATAATATTTGGAAAAAATCCCATGGGAATTCCCACCTGCTATCAATGTAATTAGCACTCTTGAAGTAGCTTCTGAACAAATGTAGTTACAGAAGCATTTAATCTAGCAACACAAAAAATAAACAGGAGATATGAAAAGGGAGTCTGAAAAGGATGACTTGCAGTAATTTGCCCAAGTCATTGACTTAATGATAGCACATGAAAGATGGAAACATAACCAGCAAACAAAAGAAAAATAAAAGCTATAGCAAATAACAGTGTATCAAGTTCTGTGCAGCTAGAAGTCTATAATGGCACCAGAAGCCTTGATGAAACACACATGCAAAGAACAGCCAACAGGTGTACATGGGCAGCTGGGATACTGCAGCAAGGAACAGCACTACAAAATGCAACAGTATTATTCCCATTTCTTGGTGATACTTTCTCCAAACACAGCCAGGACTGCCAAAGAGAGGGGACACCCATGAGCTCACAGTGTGGCAGCCAGCAGGGACTGGTACAGCTGCTGCCTGCTCCCCTCAGACACAAGTGCCTAAAATCAGCCTTGGGTAGAGAAGTGCTGGTTCATGCATCTGCTTAAGTAAGTGTCTTCTCCTTTCATTTGGCCTTTTTTTTCCTTACGTCTCATCTTGCACAATGGTCTTATGACCATCACACCTCTTCCCAGAAGAGAGGAACATAGAAGTATTTAGAAATGTCAGATCTCACCTGGCACACCAACACTTCAAACACATACTTTAAAGCACTTTAACCATTAAATAAATAAATAAATAAATGTTGCTATTAAAATAGCAACAGGAGTTCCACTGGGATGAGGTCTGATCCGGCAGATAAATGAATACAACATAAAAAAGCCATAAGTTCCTAGAGTTTATATTTTGATCAATGAGATTATGTTACTAACAGATAGAAAAGATCCTCCTGTGGTAGGTTGAAGGACAATGGAAAAATGAAAATAGTCTCCTACATTATTTGCATACCTGATAAAAGTCCTTGCCATTTAGTGCATGGAACTTTGTCTTTCTGTAAAAATGTCCACTATCTTATGGACAAATTTTACCTTCAGACTGAAACAAACCTCACTCATTTCAATATTTAGAGAATGCAAGATTTACTTTTTTTTTTTTTTTTTAACCTGACACACAAACAGAGTAGAAATCAGTTTATTTCAGTTACCAAGAAAAGTATAATTTATATTATCTTTCTACTATTGAATATTTCGGACACCCATATGCCATGCAATTTCATTACAATTTATTAATACTAAACTGCTTTTGTAACTATAGAATAAAATTAACTATCAAAAACTGCAGGGAAAATGTGAATAAACAGAGCTTAATTGTAAAGTAAGAATATTCTACCTTACACTGGCTGGTAAATTACATCAAAAAAAAACACAAATAGCAAAAGCATTTCAGGCCTGGTCATTTCAATTACAACTAAAGGTATTTGGGACAAGGGACAGTCTGATAAAATTACATTTACCACAACCATGGAAATAAAATCCTTAGAGGCAACAGCTGCAGTACTAGTATATATGCTAGGGGTACTGCACTGTTACTGCTGCAGAATAAACATCATGCCAAGTTATCTGCCAGCAGGGAGTTAAGCAAGTCTATTTGAAGCACATAAAATTGGGATCACTGTATTCCCCTTCACGTAAAGCCAAAGAGCAAGCAAAACAGCAAAAAACTGCAGTTGTCACAGGAAGCCAACTGCTTGACTAGAAAATCATAGTTCAACCCAAATGAAACAGCTATCCTGTATTTTATTAAAGTGTTTATCCCTGTCCCCAGAGTATAACAATGTTTACCACCAATTGATTTAATACTGACATTCATTTATCAAAGCCATTTACATTGACTCACTAACTGATTTACTCCCCTGACAGGCCTTCTGTTTCCCATTCATCACAATCATCTTGCTTTGCAATAGACTTAGACCTTTCCCAGCACCCCAGGGCAATGCATTCCATCTAGTGCAATTACCTTCGTGACATTCTGCCTCTTCACTGCTTAGAGGAAGCAAGAAAACAAGGGAGATCTCCCAAGTTAGTATCTAACTTTGTTCCTGTACTTGAAGGCGTAATCAATTCCCAAGCCCTAACCAAGATGAAATACATTCAACAGAAGAACTCAAAACTTAAGAGTGCAGTAACCCCTTTATGAAGAGGTTTGATCAGCAGAAGTACAGCTCTCTCCAGATCAGTATTTCTGGAAGCATCTTGGTGCCACTCAACCTCCAGAGTGCCCATCATAAATCATAGGATAATAAGCAAATGTATCTGGAGAGTGACCCTTTTCTCTTCTCAGCTTTTCTCCATCCATTCCATTTTCAAATAAAACTAATAAGACCTGTCTTTTTTCTGTAGAAGTGACAGTGGAAAACGTATTCAGTTATTTTCTTCCATTAACGTTGTGTTTCCCTTCCTCTTTTAGTTTCTTCTCTTCTGTCTCTTTTCATACATAATTTAATTGTCTGTTTATATCATTATTACGTATTTTTGAGGCGTCCTGAGCATCCTCTGTAAGCAGGTGGTATGGAGATTAAGTGGAGATAAAGCAGGGTATTAGGTTTACTACTCATCAAATTACTTTCACAGGTGATCATTAAAACTGGTTGGTTAAGGGCATAATGGATCATGCAGGAGTTTAAGTGCAGCCAATATCTATTTTGTAGTAAAAAAAAATGAACCGCTAGTGTGATGTTTTGTTTGGTCAACAGCTGCCAGGGTGAACTGCACAAAATGCCTACTTTCATGTAAAAGTGATGAGGGTTTGCAAATGAAAACTTTTTATTTTCAATGTGCAATAAACCAAGTAATTTTTAAATTTACTTTTCAAAAAACCTAGACTTTGATTTCATTATCATTTCCAGTCAAGACAGAATAAAACAAACCCTGGACCAGAAGCTCTTACAAAGATCTAGGTTCAAACTACAGTTATCAGACACAGATGCTCCAAACAATGCTTAAGAAATCCACTTTTTTCTTGAGGAGAGAAAAGATAAAAGACTTGAGGGGCATTATTTTTCAGATTGCAAAGATGTGTCACGAAGAACTTATCTAAAGGCCAGAGCTCCATCTCAACATCTGTTCTGTTGCTTTGACATGGGCAACAAGGAGATGACTTGGTAGTTGTGTCACACGTATCTAAAGGCAAGTCTTCTGAGTGTACATTTCATCAGTAAGATGTGAAGGAAATTGAGATATGAGTTGCAGCTTGGAGAGAAATCCGTGGAATCTCCACAGAATTTGTGACAATTCCTCTGTACTCTGCAGATAGGAGGAGAGACATCTCCCCAGTCTTTCAAAACCTGTTTTCAATTGGTAAAGTTGATAATGAATTCTACAGAAGACACACTGGAACTGCAAAATGCCTTTCTGTGCTGGTACTAACCTTGGTGATCCCAAACGAAGCCAATTTACATGTAGTGAAATGGAGTTTTCTAATGACCCTACCCAATCTTTAAATTTGTCCTTCAGCACAGAGTTCAGCTCTTCGGGATATAATCACAAATAACCAGAAGCTAAAAATGGTTTTGGTGACAGCTGCAAAACCCTGTTGTCTTCTATTGAGTTTCACTAGTGCACACACATAGTCACAGTCAAATAAAGTGGTAAGTGATCTCTATTTGTGTTTAAGTTCTCCTAAAACCTTGACTTGAACATGCACTCAGCTAACAGATGATTTTGGAGTACAGAAATGACATTTGCTTTATCCCCATTTCATAGAATCACAGAATGGTTTGGGTTGGAAGGGACCTTAAAGATCACCCAGTTCCAACCCCCTGCATGGGCAGGGACACCTCTCACCAGCCCAGGCAGCTCCAACCCTCATCCAACCTGCCCTTCAACACTGCCAGGGATGGGGCAGCCACAGCTTCCCTGGGCAACCTGAGCCAGGGTCTCACCACCCTCACAGGAAGGAACTTCTTCCTAAGGTCCAACCTGAATCTTCCCTCTTTAAGCTTCAAACCATTGCCTCTTGTCCTCTCACTGCACACTCATGTAAAAAGCCCTGCCCCAGCTTTCTTGTAGCCCCTTCAGGTATTGGTGCAGAACAGTTTTAATTTCCAAAGGCAGCACCTCAGTATTGTGTGTCATTGAAGTCCTGGTCTGATTTGGCATGTCACAGATGTCTGACATGCTCTTCACATATCAAATGTCCTAAGCCACTACACCACTTGCCTTCACTTCTCTTGAAAATCACAGATCCTTGCCATTTATAAGTGTCATTGTTCATAGATAAAAGTAGAGCGAAATTGAAAGATTCTTCTCCTGTTCCCATTAGATACTTAATCTTGTTCTCAGCAGCAAGACAGAGTGCCTGGCTCAATGGAAAACATTAATTGATACTTTCCACTGACTGCTTCCCAGTTCAGAACAGACATGAGATGTAGCTGAAGAAAGGTTTTCAGACAAAATTCAGAGCTTCAGTTTTTCTTACATTTCTGTTAAACAAAAAACTTGAAAAAGGTAAAAATACAACAGAAAGGGTTGAGTAATTGCTGTCCACAATTTCAAGAAATTCATAGTATGTATGTGCTTTCTATTATTTATATATTTATTGAAACTATTTCAGAATCAAGACAAGAAGTGAATGTTCACAATATCTGTACTTTTTATCCGTGTCATTGATGGAATTGCCTAAGAGACATTTAAAATTAAGTCATGGCTGCCATATCACATGCAACCCACAACAGAAGAAAAAGGCTGCTTTTAAATAAAGAAAAATAAAGCCGCACAAATAATACCAAAATAATTTATGTTCTCGCTTACATGCTGTAGGTAAGCACAGAAAATTTGCAGGGAATATTATATTTTAATTCATCAGAATATTCACAGATGGCATACAGGGAGGTAAGTATCAGGACAGAAATTAGAAATCTGATGAGCTACAGAGCATAATTCCAATACATGGCACAGCGTTATCAGCCCCTAGTGACACTGCATAGCTGATTACCATTTTCATCTTCTCTACACGCACACTCTGCCTGTCTAGTGTACACAGAGGGCAGCAAGCTTTAATTGCTTTTCCTATCTCCAAGCTTTGGAGAGAACTACAATGTCTGGTTTAAAAAAACCCTGCAAGCTCTTCATACTGCTGACAAGGTAGAGGGACTTGCACTGTTCTTAATACTGCACACCATCAGAAATTTAGCACATTTTTGGTGCTTAGGGTGTTGTCACTGTTCTTGTGTGTGCCAAAGCTGCTTCGGCTGAAAGCTGGAGTTGGGAGTATTCCCTCCCAGACAACCTGCCTTGCAAGCATCAGCTCTTGCAGTGTAGCAGAAAAACACGCTGAATATCATGAAGATCATCCCTGTTAATGCTTTGCAGAGTAAAATGCACACTTTTCTATGCACCTGAAAGCTTGTGTGTTAGTTGTCTGAAAATGCTATGAACGTGACACCAACATTCTAGTAGAAAAAAACAACAGTTGATTTTATTAAAATGCAAAACTTTCAGCAAAGACCTAAAGTATGGGCACATACCCCAAAATACCTATCAGAATCTTAATTATGCACAAAGGAGGTTTCTATTTCTTCTGGCTCATGCTTACCTCCACAACCTAGGACCCATCCCTTATGGCCAGATCTCTCTCCCATGTGATGCCTCCCCTTAGCAGGACACTGTGCAAGGACCTGCTTGCCTGCAAGTACCTACTCTCTGCCTCTGGTTTCTGTTCAGAGCTCAATCAGTTCCACAGGAATGTTGTAATTCCTACACGAGGTACTTAATTACAGAATCTATTTTGAACAGTTTTTCCAAAGCATAGACTGTTTTTTCCTTGACATGTAAAAGATACTTAAAAAATGCTGAAGGTCATTGGGCAAAGCCAAAGAAAATATCATCTGGCTAGACAACGAAAACATCATCAGGAATGAAAGAAAAGGTTCATGACCAGAATGGTGCTTAATTTGACTATAAATGAATAGCTTGTCCATTACGAATAAAATAACCTGCACGCATAGCCAAGAGAAGCAGCACGGCTTTCAAGTCATAACTCCTTACAAGCCACACAGTGAGTATCACAAGTCACATAAATGCATGAGGAATAACAACAAATGGGGGTCATTATCAAGTCCTGATACAAAGCAGGCAGAAAGGCAACCTACGTATTGGGAACAGCAGCATAAAATTTAAGCAAATATTCTCTGTTGGATTGATGTAGAAACAGGGAAAGGTTGCAAGTACTCATGATGGAAGCAACTATTCAGTAAGTGTTCATTTTCCATCTTGCAGCTACAGTTCAATTTTATCACAAGTTTTAAAACTTCTTTTAAAAAGCCGAACTTTACATTTTGCATTACTGTGATGTCCAACCCTCACATTGCAGTAAGTCAACTCAGTAGAATAAACCAGAGGAATATTAAAGCTGTTGCACATGCCAAACTTCTGTCTGGAAGCAGTGTCATGCAGTGTACGTGGGTAAGCACCCAGATTTACAGATTTTGTGCCGTAAGTCCAACATCCAACTTGTAGAATTTCTGTGTGGAAGCACAATTGCCCTCATGTAGCTGGGGATGCACACCATCTTTTTCCTTTTTTCAACATAGGCAGTTGTTTGCTTTCAAATCACTATCTATCATCAATGAGCATTTAATTGGCCCTTTTCCAAGAAGACTGCTCCATACATTGCAGTATCAAAAGATATAACCACATAGCTGCAACTCTGAGTCTGATAGATCAATCAAACACAAAGAAGCCCTACCCAGCCAGCCAGTCAGAAACACCATCCACTGAGACCCATGGGGCTCTTTGCCACAGGCTTATAACCAAGATGCAATCACGTTCTCAATACATAGTAAAGAAAAATCTTCTCATCTCCTGAAGATCCTTGGCAAAACCCACAGCAACTTCATGGGAAGCTGAGCTGGGCTCAGAGCATGCAGTGATGTAGCACTGTGAGGCAAGGATGTTTTGTGCTGTCTTTGCTCTCTCTTTGGACCCAATTCAGCCAGAATCAGACCAATGAACTCACCTGGGATGAAGTTTCAATTCCCAACAACTGGCCTTTAAGAAATTCTTGCCCTGCCTGATGAAAACCAACCTGAAACCTAAGAATTCTTTTTCAGCCTCACAAATCCCCCTGCTTGGTTCACAGCATGGCCCCATGAACAGTCATGGCAGCACCTCTGAGGCAGCAGAATGAAGGGAACAAGCAACCAGGCAGGAACTTCAACTTCTCATTTAGCTAGAATGTTTCCACACACGTTAAGTATTTTGCCAAACTTACACCTTCCTCATGTGTCCTTTTATCAGTAGCAGAAATTGAAATGGTTTTGTTCGCTTTGTCCAACTGGAATTTCCACACAGATGTTACAAGTAATTTTTATCAGGGTTAAAAAATTAATGTAGCTGTGAATCAGAAAGGAATGTAGATGTAAGTGCTATTTGTGGCACATTAAACAGTGCATTAGTTGAAGTTAATTTAGTGACAGTCACTTCTGTGTGAAAACCATAGGCTTTCTTGTTTTAAAGCAAATCATTAGCTTTAGTTTTTCTGCCTTTCATGCCTGAAAAAAACAGATCTTGCAACAACCAACTATCCTCTGTTTACAAACAGAAATTATTAAAGCAACAGAAGACAAGGAGAATCCTAAATAATTGCCCCTGATAAAATGGGTTCAGCCCATCTATGTCAATGGCTGAGGGCTCTTGTGGTACTCCTGGGATTATGATCAACTTGACATTCTAAGTAGATGGAAGAAAGCACTGTATCTCAGCTTGATGTTCTAGGCCCCTCTCTATCACTCTTCCTTCTGAAACAAAACTACCTCATTTTCCCTGAGCTCACAGTGGCTTTCAGACATCTGATGTTGCAGACTTGTCTGTCTTGCCCTCCTTTCCTACCCAACCTAAGTAACTGCTTTTATAAATAAAATGGACCTGAAGTAAGGTTTATTTAATAAGCATTCAGCAGACTCACTTCCAGAGCTTTCTGCAATCTGGTGGCTCTTAGGCAGGATCTGAGTCCTGCAGCCCAGCCATGACCACAGTGTCTGTAACAGGCAAGGGAAAAAGTAAATTCATCCCAGCTCTTACCTGACCACGGTTGTGAAGACTTAAATCCAGTCCACATGTAAATTCAGTATGATGCTCAACTGTTTCCAGCAAAGGGTTAGGCTTGGAAAAGTCCCAGAATCTTCAGAGAAAGGAAAGGAGGGAGGGGGAAAGAGAGAAGAAAAACTCAAACAAACCACAATTAAAGTAATTGAAAGGCCATTTCAAAAATATAATGCAAGATATTGACAAATCTGTTGCTGCCAGGATATTTGAAAAAGCAAACTCATCCACTGAGGAAACATAAATCACATTCCTGCAAAGCCATCTGCTGATTTACATAAATAAAACCCCACTGGGCTAAACCACCTTTGTCTCCTGTTGCAGAAACTGAGATCAAAGTTAGGACCAAAGAGCAGCCGATAGGACATGATTAAAATGGAAGAAAATGTAGGCTGGAATACTCTTGTTCCATGTCTTGATGGCTCAGGAATCTTATCCTCGATGACATTAGCGCAATTTATGGTTTTAGTCAGTTTTTGGTATTGTTCTCTATGGGGTGAACAACATTTACTGACATTTATTTACTGAAAATCACACTTTGCTTAAGAGGCATCGGTCATTCTCATGCTCAAACCTGAGACTGTGTTCCTGTAAAACAGAGTGTAATATTATAATTTAATAATAAATGTTGCACTACAAAGATCAGCTGCATAACGCCGTTAATTCCACTAATTCCTGTGTTAAAAAGCAATTTCCCTTTCCAGCCCTGGATGATAAAAATGCTTAGAAAACAAGATTTCTGAAGTCCCAAATACTGCCCCATTAGATGAATGTCCATCAATGCAGTTAGGATGGGATGGATGTATAGGTACCAGAAAACTTAGGAATAGTCAGAAACAGAACTATCAGATAATAACACCCTGGGAAGACACCACATGATGGCACAAAAGAAAGATTTGGTGGGGTTTTGATGGTGTGTATACTGTCTGAAGAAGTCCAGTCTGCAAAGCAGAGCAGGTTTTGTGAGCTGGCAGCTGCAATCAGATTTGATGCAGCTGGAATTTTATCACAATGGGCAAATTGTTTGCTTTTCTTCTGTACCAACCACATGTGTGTCTCTGCCTCACTCCTGCTGGGGAAAGTGACAGTACTTAATAAGAACAGCTCATTATCAGACCAACTACACTGACAGCACTCTATGTTCAAACCAATTCAGGCAAAAAAGCAAACACTGGAGCCAGTGGGATCAGTTTGTTTAAGGTGTAGATGTTATTTCCTTCATAAAAGAGCAGAGTGGGATCAGCACAATGGCCATGCCATAGCAACAACCCTCTTAACCTTTGCCTAGTACCTGAGATCTAAGACAAACAACTTATTTTGCAGAAGAAAGGAGCAAAAGACCATCTCAGCATTTTCATCCTCCCACATTTGTTCATAAGAATGTAAGGACACAAATCTTGTTGTTTCTAAGTAATAATAGTAGTCTTCCTTACACACAAGCTCTCTTGAAAAACAGATGCTCATCACTGAAACTAAGATTAAAGGAGACAACTTCAGTTCAGAAACTTACAAAATACCTTCTGATCAATTTTAAAAGCAGGACAAATGGTGGTTTTTGTATGGAGTCATGTTTGCTAGAAGTCAGAAGCAGTACAGAGCTGAAGAGTAATGAAACTCAGTTCAAGTTCCACAAACTGTTTGGGACCTTTAGGGTTTTTTAATATAAAAATAATTACCAGTGAAAGTCCAAAAATGTCTCAGGACTGAGAATCATTGATAACAAGTTAATGATGGTTCTCACACCTCTGCTGTTCCAAGTCCATTATCTATAGCCCAGCTTCCAGAACTAGTACGGTCACAACGTTTTGCTGAGAGAAAATTTCCATTGCACTGTGAAAACTTAAGTGCAATAAAGATTTTCTAAGATAGTGACAGCAAAAAGGGAGCAAACACCCACCTTTCCACCTTGAAAAAAAAAAAAGAAGCAAAAAACCCCTCTAACACAGATAATTAACTGAAGTGAAACCCAGTTTCTTTTCTGAGCAGCATTATTCCAGAAGTTCTCAAGATTTCTTTGTGATCCAACTTACTGGACTTGTGTACAGTGGTGGAGAGCTGGGGACAGTAGTTTACCTTAAAGTGTTTTGCAGAGACAATATCCAGAACAGTACAACTTTCAACAAAAATCACTGTTTTGCCTCAGAGGCAAGCTTTGCTGAATACATTTCAAGATCTGGCCTGATACCAGCCTAATGAAGTTCTATAATTTATCAGATCTTCTGTTCAGATTTTGGTGAGCACTGTCTGTGCCTAATGCAGCAGATTTTTTTCTTCATACTGAAGAGAGTCCAAAAATATAGAAGTGATTCCAGTAAGAGATGACACTGATGTTCCTTCAAACTGAATTTTGATAGAGATAAGATTTAAGAACATGCATGCAGGCTTAAGTAAGTTCTGGAAATGTTACAGTACTTTGTGCATTTCCTGGCATTTTAATGATTTGTTTGTGTTAAAACTGCTCTTTAATTGCCCTACATTCTTCCTGAACTCTTACAAAAAGTAAGGACATGGTATAAAAAAAAAATTGTCTCAATGAGGCATTTACTAGATAGGGGTTAAATCCAAATCATTATACCCAAGCCCAGAGAAGCCTAAATTCAAACCTACACCCCTTTCTTCTTAGTCCCAAGTGTGAAGTTGGCACATTAACTAGTTTTCTTTTCAGCAGCTTGACTCATGCACACTTGCAACCATTGCACTGCACACAAAGGGTGAAGCTGAGCTTTGGTAACTTTGCCTTCAACCTAGTACTTTTTGCTTTTAGATAACCAGTTGTGATTATGTGCCAAACTAGCTGTTCTACCTGAAACAAACACAAGCCTTGTCTCCTACACTAGGGTTTGGTAATCTTATCTAACAGTTGCATTTGTTTGGTTAACATTTAAGAGTACAGAGCTGGAACAGTAAGCTATACTGTATCCTGTTACCTACTAGGTGTTAATGCTTACAGACAATTCTGATCTTCAAACAGAAGTGTTACAGAAGATAAAAGAACAATATCAGAGTTAAGCTGCTATTAAAATAGCACTTCTATCAGTGAAACTGTTTTTGAAGGACTGACATATCATTGTCGTATGAATTACTATCAAACATGGGTAAAAGTCACAGGCCTTGAGTAGATTCAACAAGATCTAAAATTAATACCATGTACTGGAATCCTTATTTCTCTTCCATCTTTATATTTATCAAGTATTTTTGTTCTTTTTGTTCACTCAGACCAAACTCAGCAACTGATAGTTTTAGAAAACTGCTAAAAATCTGTATTTCAGCCCTTCAACCCTGCACTCTGTCCCTAGTAACAACAAGTACTTGCTTGGACTGAAAAAATAATGGCTAGAGTGGCATTTTGTGAAAAGCTCCCCAAGCTCTGTATTTACAGACACACTGGTATATGAGCTAGTAGGCGTTCTTCTCATCTTCACTGACAGTTCCACACAGGGAAACGTCAGAGCTGAAATTGCACTAGGTTTTGGTACAGCTCGGAATACATTAATGCTGAACCCAAGTACAGCTGGTCTCAACAGTGAGAAGAACATGACAACACAATCGAGTCACCTCAACATATCAGCATGCTGATTTTATCAGTCTTACTGCTCAGATAAGGCCACTAGAAGAAACCAATTACCACTTCCTATTTTAGACCTAGAAGCCCCTTTAGAGAAACAATATGCTGCAAACCAGCTGGCACTGCATCAGTAAAGGATGTTAAGATCCCACAAATCACCTTCCACAGACCACTGTGCAGTGTCCTGTGAGAAGTCCCATTTTTAACATAAATAAAATTAGGCAGTTTATGTAAGATGGAATGCTGGTACATATACACATATGGACATCCCAGCACTTACACTGCCAGGCTCCTGGCACCAGCCACATGACAGCAGATCTTGGCAAGGCACTGCTACCCCTTATTACAGTAAGCAAAAGAATAACAATTACCATGAACTCAAGTGCTTGAGAACCTTCCCTAAGACTATACAAATTTATGATTTAGAAACATGCACTCACAGTTAGCAAGGTTTCCCTTAAGAAACAGAACCTTTCTGTTTCTGGTCTCAGACCACTCCAGACACAACCAGAAGTGACATTAACTGGGATGATTTGGGCAAGTGGGATAACTTTGCAGTCACTTGTGGAGGTAAGAGGTCTTCTCCCATTTACAAATGTACTGCCCACTCTATCCAGTTCATGTTATAAAATCGAAATGTAGATCAAAGAATGAGATTTAAATATTCAGGGATGTACCTCACAGTGTATTGACTTACACCACTGTGTATCTTAAAGTCCTAAGATGAAGTCAAACTCTTTAGTACTCTGAATCAGCTTTAAATCAGCTGTAATATCAAATCTTCAGCAATATCAGATATACAGGGCAGCCAGAGGAACTTGCAGAAGCATTGTCTAAATAACTTCAACACCCAAACTGTGGAACAATCCTAAAGCTTCCTCAGATATTGGTAGGACAAAAACTTTTTTCATAGAACACTAAAATAAAAAGTATGTCACAGAAACATACAAAGTCACCCACCTATATTCATTTCAGAGGTTATTACCTTCTTATCAGACATTATCACAGCCAGATGCAACTAAGTTCAGAAGAATTATGTGAAAAGGATTACAGAAAGCATCCCTCAGAGCAGAAATCATTTAAACGAAGAACCCATCCATTTTCTACATAGCTTATGGAGAGAGCAGCACCAACTGCACTTCAGGATGTCCACTTTAGAACTGTTTCCTATTGCAGGTCACATTAAAATAGATTATCTTTCCATTTTTATCCAATTAAAAAAATACTGTACCTCACAGTAAAATCATAGGAGCAAGAGGCCAGTAAAGTTGCATGGAATGGTGAAAACTGCAAGAAAACAAAACAATATTAAAGTAGAACCACTGTGAACATATGCAGACTTACTGTAAGTAAGAAGTTACTAAAGTTTAAGTATTTAAACTGTTTTGGCAGGTACCACATCATGCTGCAACAAAACAGACTATAACAACAAATTTCACTGCCACGCTTCTAACTAGAAGGAATGCTCTTTGGGATCCTGGTTTGGTTTTATTTCATTGCAGCAGTGGCAAACAACCATGCTGTAAAGTTACTAAGTTTTAAGACAGTCAAATAAACAGTCATTGAACTCAGCTTTTGGCTGACAAGCAGAGCATTATCTCATTATATAAAGTGAGTTTCAGAAAATCTATGTGATAAGTTTTATTATTTTCAGAGAGAAAATTTGTGCCACACAGCAAAGGTGGTTAAGATACATTACTGTCATCAATTTCATGTCCTAAAATTGTGAAATTATTTACAGAAATTGGAAAATTTGAGGTATGTTGAAAAACTGAAGGCACTGTAATGTCACTTCACAGTTCCCCCTCTTCTGCAAGGTATTTTATGGGGGATACTCTTCTAGGAAGCACTGTAGACAGGTCTAAGAACTGCAGCAATAAGGAGGTAGGTAGGTGAAAATTGTTCACCTGGGCTCTAGCTTTTTCACAACCCTCAGTTTCCAACTATTTTAAGGTCTGTATTTCTCACCAGGAAATACAGAAGTCATTGACATAATTTCAGTTTGAAATGCAGGGCCCCCCCCCCATGCTTCCTAGGCAAGATTCTTCCTGTAGAACATGCAATATTATCCACAGTCAAAGTGAGGCCTGGGCTATTGTCTCAGTTGCCCAAGTTGCCAAGGGAGCAGTCTATGTTCCTGCATGCTGAACTCTACTGACAGAATTCTCTGCACCAGAGCAGAATCAAGGGATGTTCATGCTTGAACCTCCCCAGATTTCCTACCATTTTTCTGGAGGTAAAAAAACAGATAACACAAAAAACCAAACCAAACAACAGCAAAACAAAACAAAACCCCCACCTAGTTTCAGATGAAGCAAAAACATTTTGTCAAAGCTGCAAAGCTTTACATTAACCTCATGTATCTGACAGACTTACTTAAGTCTATCAAAATATTTTCTACGTATACAAGCTGACAGAATTTGTATAATGTCTTTCTGTTACAAAGAGAGGAGACTATTTTATAAGTCTCTTCCACTTAACTGTAAGATAATACAATTTTAGAAAAGACCAACACATCACCCAGCCTGACCTTCACAGATCATTCACCCAAATACCTTCTTAGGTAAACCCAAAAGCCATAACTACTTTTCAGTATGAGACTGTAGCCAGCTAAGAGTATGAGACAGCCAACTGCCCAATGTAAAAATCTCCTGAAAAGGACACCAGACAACCTCAGTGTGCTGGTAACAGCCTGTACTGCAGTGAAAGGCCACAAGAATCCTGCATGAATCCTGACCGTGCTGGTTGGAATTTGTTGCCAGCCCAGACCTGACAGTCAACACAACCCTGAACAAGTGAACTAATACAAAAGACAGAAAACTGGAGAGTGTGGCTTCATGGTTGGTTTAAGGTAATTTAAAAGTGCATGGCTGCCAAGGCTCGTGGCCTTCCCTTCCACCTCAGGCTGTGGTCTCCTCCCCACTCTGTTGTGTCAGGACCTGCACTTGTGCAGTTGAGTGACAAATGGAGACTCTCTCGTATCTTAAGTCCACAGGGACTATGACTATCTTGAAATGGCTATCTCTCTCTCAAGCTCTTAACTCCCCATCATGTTTGTCATGGAAATACACTGACTTGAAAGATGTCATTTACCTTGAAATCCTAGCAACCTGCTAAACATCAAAATGTTTTACAGTGATAAATGGAAGGTTCCCAAGAACAGTCATTGTAGCATCTAAAATCTCCAACGCCTGTTGTTTTTTCACTAGATACTAGATAATACAAAATATTACTGCTTTACAGACCAAAAGGATTGAGGACAGGCCAGAGGAGAAGGACCTGGGAGTAGTGGTGGACCAGAAGTTTAACATGGGCCATCACTGAGCACTTGCAGCCCAGAAAGCCAAACGTGTCCTGAGCTGCATCAAAAGGAGCACAGCCAGTCAGTTGAGAGAGGTGATTCTCCCCCTCTGCTCTGCTCTGGTGAGACCCTGCTTGGAGCACTGTGTCCAGTTCTGGAGTCCCCAACATAATAAGGACACAGAGCTCCTCAAGCATGTCCAGAGAAGGCCACGAAGATGCTCAGAGGGCTGGAGCACCTCCCCTGTGAAGATGGGCTGAGGAAGCTGGGGTTGTTCAGCCTGGAGAAGAGGAGGCTCCGTAGTGACCTTAGAGCAACTTCCCAATATCTGAAGGGCCCTACAAGAAAGCTGGGGCAGGGCTTTCTACATGGGTATGTAATGAGATGACAAAGGGGCAATGGTTTGAAGCATAAAGAGGGGAGATTTAGGTGAGACATGACGAAGAAATTCTTGAGTGTGAGGGTGGTGAGACCCTGGCCCAGGTTGCCCAGGGAAGCTGTAGCTGCCCCATCCCTGGCAGTGTTGAAGGGCAGGTTGGATGGGGCTTGGAGCAACCTGGGCTGCTGGGAGGTGTCCCTGCCCATGCAGGTTGGTGGAACTGGATGATCTTTAAGGTCCCTTCCAACCCAAACCATTCTATAAGCCTATGATTCAAGTAGTGTAAAAATGCAGTGGTGGTCAATGGGGAATAAAATCCAACTTACTTTAACTCTTCTGAGAGCATAGGTGTGACCAAGCAGGACGAACACGGGCTGCCGGATGTTCCGCAGATCCCAGCCCTTCAAGCTACAGTCAACAGCACCGGTGACCAGCAAGTTCTGGTGATTGGATAAAACATAGATAGCAACAGAACTTAATTATTAAATTGCACTGATCTGTATGTTGGCTACAAAAGTCAGATAATTCGAACAATGACAGATGAATAAATTATAAATGAGGTCTCCAGTGTGTGAATTAAAGAGAACAGAGGAACAAAAACTGCTCCATCTGTTGGGAAAAGGCTCTCCTGAAGATGTGGTAGCAAATGAGTCTATGGCTTCCTCATGAGGTGAAGAGATGGGGCAGGTCCTGACCTCTTCACTCCTGTGATCAAGGACAGGACTGGGGGAAATGGCAGGAAGCTCAATGGGGAGGGTTAGGTTGGGTATTAGGTAAAGGTTTTTCACCCAGAGGGTGACTGAGCACTGGAATCAGCTCCCCAGGGCAATGGTCACAGCATCAAGACTGCCTGAGTTCAAGGAGCAATTGGATGATGCTCTCAGGGGCAATTTTTGAGGGTGCCTTACACAGGGACAGGTCCAACTCAGCATGTTCTGTGATTCTATGAGAGCAACAAAGCAATTAGACATGTTTTCATAAAGAGAAGATGCATTAATGTTGTAGTAAAAACCCAGGCTACTTAATGAGAGTGATTCAATTAGGAAAACAGTAGGATGACAGGTTTATACCTCATCATATTTGCACCAGTCACAGCTCAAGATCTCAGCCTGGTGGGCCGGTATCACAAGTTTGACTCCTGGGGCTTTGACATCCCAAACTCTTAAAGTCTGGTCACCTGAAACAAAGAGAAATTGATTCAACATTGTTGAATTAGTTATGGGATACAGTTAATCCACTAGTACTTTTTAGACTAGTTTCTTGGCTGTATGAAAGGTAAACTATTACATGAGGATAGTCAGGCCAAATAAAGCAAGCACATTGCAGACGTGGAGGTCACATTGGTGCACAAAAGGAATCAGAACTTACTATTGCTCTTAGATTTGGAAAAAAGGACTTGGAATCTCTTCAGCAGTTCCTTGTCTCTGTTGAACTGGGGAGCCCAGAACTAGACAGGTCTCTAGATGTGGTCTCATGCACCCCAGGATCCCATTGGCCTTCTTGGCCACAAGGGCACATTGCTGGCTGATGAGTGATTTACTGTCTACTAGGACTCCCAGATCCTTCTCCTCAGAACTGCTTTCCAGCAGGTGCACCCCTAACCTATATTGGTGCATATTCTTCCTCCCTGGACCCTACACTTCCCCTTATTGAACCTCATGAGGTTCTGCTCTGCCCAGCTCTTCAGCCTGTCCAGGTCACATTGGATGGCAGCACAGCCCTCTGGAGTGTCACTACCCCTCCTAGTCTTGCATCATCAGCAAACTTGCTGAGGTCACACACTGTCCCCTTGTCCAGGTTGTCGCTGAACACGTTGAACAAGACTGGACTGAGTATTGATGCCTGGAGACACCACTGGTTACAGGCCTCCAACTGGACCTTGCTCCACTGCTCACAGCCCTCTGACTTCTGTCACAGCTCCCCATGCACCTAATCCACCTCTTTTCAAAAAACCAGCCACAGTTCCGACAAAACTGTCCTTCGAGCCACAGTAACAATATTCCTGTTACACAAACTACCGGGTCCTGTAGACTTTGCAAAAGGAGTTATGACATTTTGCAAATCCACGACAAAAAATGAAGCTAGACAGGAGACTGGCCTTATGATGACTGTGGTACTGCACAGACCAAGGAAAGCTTTGCTTTGATGGCTGGGTGGCTGTCTCCTCCTCAGATGCCATGACTGTGAGAGGCACTGTGCTCTTGGTGGGAGCAAGATGATTTCTCACAGGTTTCACTGCCCTCGCCTACTTTCAGGCTGCCAAGAGCAAGCCTGCTCAGCAGGAGCACAGCACTGCAGACACCCTGCAGGAGCTGGAGGCCCAGGCATCGCTGCCCTGCTTGTGAAACAGGGCAACATATGGGGGGAGGAACCACGAGCAGCAGGGTGTTGGCAAAAAAAGAGCAGAACAACCATCCACCCACCATCAGTCCTGCGAATCTGTCTGTTCGCCTGCGCAGGGCAGATTCCAGCTCCAGTCTTTCGGAGATTTATAATGGACTTCTTAAAAAGCTTTCATTTTAATTGCATCAGATAACATGGATTTGGAGGGGAAATGTATTTCACAACAGAGAGGACCATTTCTCCTGAGCAAATAAATATATAAACCCAGGTGGACCAGAATGAACTGTTGCAGAGATGGGCCACAGCAAAGGACAAAAACAGTTGAAAAGTGAGTTACTGGGCCAATAACAATTTTGATACTAAATAGACAATTGCCCCAATTATTCCTTTATTTAACAGAAAATGCTGATGCACAAGAAAAAGAGTTATTTTATTTTATTTCTTTTAAAATGCTAGGCTTAGCTGTTATTAATTCTGGCTGGCACCATTTGCAAAATGTTTTTAATGGGGTAACAACATGCAAGTGAGCCTTTCTGTGAATAGAACAGACTGAAATAAAGCCAAAGGCAAATCCAAATTTTCCATTTAAGCTGTAAGTGGAAGAATCAGATTAATTTTTTAAAAAGTGCTGATAAACAGTGTAATGCTGACACATTATGCATTTTAACAAACTTTTTTTTTAAACCTCAAACATCTTTCCATGAACTCACTACATAGATTTTTTTTCTTTTTTACATTGCTGTTACAAAATCTGGAATTTCCACATTTCTATGAATCCCTCAAATCTGCATTACAAAGGATTAATTTCTTCCATATGGTAAAGCAGCTGTAGGATAACAGTAATAGAAAGCACAAGGAAAGCACACCTAGTACAATCATATTCACTCACAGCCACTTCCAGTTGGCATCCCAAAGTAAGCAATCACAAAAGGGGCCAGCATATCCCCCAGAAAATACTTCTATTTTTGTAAGAAGCAATTTCTCTATGGCAACAGATTTTTGCTAGTCTGTTAAGATAATTATGATTCCAGATTTGTTTGTATATTGTACTGGCTTTCTTTCATTTTAATGAATATTTGTGAAATCTTGGACGGACCGACAGAACTACACAATAGACACTCATCTATTCAACATTTCTGAAAGAGATGCTGATCTACAAGAACATCATCCCTGTGCAGGGGATAAAGACTGCTAATGTGAATGACAATGTATGACAGTGAAAAGATAGCTTATTTAAGATTCAAATGTCTTGTCAGTTTTATGCTAGCTTTTTATTCACAGATGTATTTTACCCAAATCCATCAACCATCATCTCCTTGATCCTGTGACAACAACTGGCTAAGCAATCACTGCCAGACAGTGCAGAGGTGCACCATTAACTATAAAAAATAGCTAGGTATTTGGGAGAGTAATAAAAACCCAAGGAACCTTAAATGCTCTCTGAAGGCAAAAAGGAATCTAACCAGGACAGATAGAATGTTTTCCAAGAACTGAAGTACTGTTAACTTAAAATTTTACTTTAAAAAAATTTTAAAATCTCCTTTCTTTTTTAAGCTCTAAAGCAAGAAATCTGATCTCCTTTCACTGTTCCCTCATAAAGAGAAAAAGCCCCAAACAAATAATATATCTTTAATTTACTTAGAAAAAGAATTCAGCATAAAAGACACAAGTATTGGCATATATGGTGTAACATCAGAAAAAAGCTTGATTAAATAAGTATTTCTGCAGTGCTGTTGAATGATTACAAGTTAACATTACTTGCTTGCTTTAGTTTTTTAAAACACTAAACCAGATTAAGTTGTTTAGTCTGACTCAACTAGCAAACATGCAGGAGAATAAAGCACAGAAACCAAATCTCATGACTCTCCAAAACAATCTCTTTAGCATGCTAAAATAGTTATGATGTCCATTTCCATCAGAGATAGTATAAGGGAACCTTAAACAGGAATAATAAAGCACAAGAGATTCCACACAGAGAGACAGAAATAAGTGACACAAATAGTAGATTTATTGAAATCACCCAGCAGGACTCTACTAAATGCACATCTATTTCCATGTCGCACAACCTGGATATCAAGGAAACATAATTACCAGTGGAAACGTACTTTCCAGGTGGTAATTTTTCAGTCTAATACAAAATGCTGTAATGCTAAAAATTAGAAGAGCTTTAAGTTACTTCAGAAAAGATCACAGAGACTTTTTCTGAAAAGAGTAATTTGCTAAAAAATAACAATAATAATAAAAAATAATTGAAAACTTATTTCAGTGTTTTCCAAGATGATTAAACGTAATCATCTTGGGGAAAAAAAAAATATTTCAAAATTGACCTAACTTATGACTTACTATTACACCATTCTTCAGCAAATGGCAATACTGGCCAGATGCCCAACTCTAACCCAAATGATGCAAAACATACACATTCACTGTAAAACACGGTTGCATTTTTCTTCTCAACACTACACCATTATTTGACAATATAAGATTCTAATATCAAATATTATAACCTGAAAGAGGTTTATATTGCAGCATGTGCTGCACACGGGACTTTACTGCGGTTGCTGTGTCCCACAGTTGAGGGCCACACACATTTCCTGAGCAATATTCCAGCTGGCACACCAGGGGCATGAGACTCGGGTTAATTCTGCTCTCTGCTGATTTGTCTTGAAGCAACAGACTGCAGGTGAATTATATTGTAATAGCTTCTAGCATGAACAGCAGTTTAACTAAACGGCAACAAAACAGTCTGTGCTCAGCTTGCTCTCCAGATGCTCCACTGTACAATAAGAAGTTGTACAGTAAATTGGAACACCTAGAAAGGTGTGCCAAGATTACATACCAGGTTGATTTATGAAATTACCACCTGACAACCCCTTAACTACACACATTTATCACTAAGAGACCGGTAGGCAAGAAGACAAACTTTTGGAAAGGCACCTCAATGTGGCAAGGCTGGCAATAAAACTGAATACGAGATAAAAAATGTTTTCAATTTTAACCTTGAAGTCTAGGACTGAAAGCAAAAGCTTGCAAAAGTGGAGGCTGGATTTTCAAGTCCATTTGTAAGCCAGCAAAGCTACAAATCCCAAACACTTTTGTCAATATAATAAAAATTTCTCGGAAATTATCACAACTTGTTGTGGCATGAGAAAATTTTTTGCCTTGGGCTTTCCATTTAGAAAATAAGTCTTTCAGCAAAGAATACAACTAATTGATCTAAAGATTGACGCATACAGACATTATCCTGCAGATTTGATGAACTCTTGTTTTATTTAAGATTTTTTAAAAACTATGTATCTGCCCTGATCAGTGCACTTACGCAGTGTAATAATTTTTAAAGGAATGCAGTATTAAAAGAGAGGTCCCAGGAGCTAAGAGGAAACCCAGCAGTAATTTTAAATCTGGGCTTTGTCAAATAGAAACCATTCATATTTTCATTCGCCAGCATCATATATACATTGAAGAATACTACAGTTATGCAAACAAGGATAACATGGTACTCATTAATTACTTCCCACTGTTAAATTTAGGGGCAATAAAAATAGTTGATACTATATAGGCTGCTTTCTTTATAAACCACAGGACAAGGCCTATTTCTCTGCACTTATGGAGAATCCTTTAGCAGAACAATTTTATGATTTTTTAAAAATGATTTTTATGACTACACAATAATGTACATTTGACACTTCCTTTATGTGCTTCTCACCAATTTACTCTCTGGATTAAATAAAAAAGAAGAGACCTTCTGGACAAATAACACAAAACCTCATTAAACCCTTTTATCCATCAAGATGCTGTTAAATATTTATGTCACTTCTCTAACGACATTTTCCACACCACTGTTTTTTTCAATGTTGCCAGGGCTCAGGGCTCTAGTTTGGTGCTGCACGTCCACTTGAACATCCTGCTTATCTTATCAGCTCAGAAATTGCTACCGGCATCACAACAGCAGTTATTTACATACACACAATTAACACTTTGTTCTGTTACTATTAACTCTCAACTTCAAATAGAAAAAAAAAGATAAGCCATTTACTTGCTGAGAGTACAAATGGTTGTGTGCACATGAAGACAATAGCTTTGTAAAGTACCTCACATGCCCCTGTGCATGTTAAATGGAAGTGTATCAGTTGCTGAATAAAAGTTAATTTAACTGAACGATCAGACATATTTATCTTCTGTAATTCAATTGCACTTTATTGTCCACAGCAGACAAACTTGTGTTTCCTGTATGTATTCAGATTGGAGGATTAACGAGGCAAAATAACCATATTTAGTATTAAATTCTTTTTCAACTGCTTTACTTCTACTACAAAGACAGGCTGAGAGAGTTGGGGTGTTCAGCCTGGAGAAGAGAAGGCTCTGGGGAGACCTTAGAGCACCTTCCAGTACCTGAAGGGGCTCCAGGAAAGCTGGGGAGGGGCTTTTCACCAGAGAGGGCAGTGACAGGACAAGGGGGGATGGTTTTAAACTGAATGAGAGGAAATTTAGGTTAGACATCAGGAAGAAATTCTTCACCATGAGGGCAGGAAGGCACTGGAACAGGTTGCCCAGGGAGGCTGTGCCTGCCCCATCCCTGGAAGTGTTCAAGGGCAGGTTGGGACCTGATGATCTCAAGGTCCCTTCCAACCTTGACCATTCTGTGATTCTATACTGCAGCCTTACGTTTCGCCTTTTTTTTTTCACCTGTATTTTTTTTTTTCTATTTTCATAATACTTTGAGAAAAAGTCAAACTCCAAAAGCAAAGATTTAACCATAACAGCTTCAGGCAAAAATTATCCAGGTACCTAATGGTCCTTCTGAGCAGTTATTTCACCGTGGCTTGAGCTGTGTTTGGTTTTCTGTCTTCAGTGTTCACAAACAAATTACTGAAGCAGAAATTCAACTTTTGCTGGTATCATAGAATCATAGAATCTTAGGGGCTGGAAGGGACCTTGAGAGATCAATATCAGTATCTATGTGGATTCAAATAAATCCAGAAAAAGGGCAGGAGTGAGGCCTCCAAGAGGTTCCTAAACCTCCTTCCATCTTTTTAATTTTCTTAAAAACAAAAAATAAACTTTAAAAGTGCATTGCTGTACTTAAATGTTACTGTGGTTAACAACGTATCTAATTTATTTTACTAACACACAGAAAATTGAAGATGCTGCAACATGAAATATCTCATTTCTGGTCTGAAGTGCTAAGACTTTCCTATTAGTGAGTATATGGCTGTGAACAGTGTGAGGTGGGATGAGAGAAAGGGGACAAGAGGGGCAAGACGAAGAACACACCCACACTGTGCAACCCTTCAGCAGTGCAACCTCCTTCAAAAAGGCAATGCTTCAATACACTTTAATGACACTCTTCAAAAAACGAATAGTTTAAAAATAATAAAAAAGCCCCCAAAACCCCAAACAAACAAACAAAAAAAATCCCCACAAACAAAACCAAAAAACAAACCACAAGGGAGATGAAAGGAAGTATAAGAAGTACAGACATTTTCAGTTACTAACTTTCAAGATGACACAAAGTTGAAGAGACCACAAAACTTGGGACCACCTTTCCAGCAGGTCTCTCAAAGAGGGCAACAGCTGTAAACTCCATACAGTACTATCATGGATTGCAGTTCTTCTCCTGCTCCGATTCTGGCTCAACAAAAGATTATCAGTGAAATTAACCTTTCTGTCCCATAATTTCCTGTCATCCTTATCAAGTGTGTGGATTGTAACAAGTTTCAAACAAGAAGGCCCAGCCTGCTGAAAAATTCCACCTGACTTTCATGACGTATCTTGACTGACAGTAGAATGCCACTGACCATGGAACAGTGCAGTAAACTCTCTGAGCATTAACTGTCTGATAAGCCATTCTTACAACAAAGAAATGGCATTTACACCCAGAGCTAGAGGGTCATGAGTACTTCCTACTACCCACAGTCCTGCTTACCAAAGAGAAAACTCCTAATATATATTTTCTGTAGTCAAGTAATCTAATCAAACCACAGGAAAATTCCAATGTAAACTAAAACCAAAAGCAAACAAACTTTTTCCACATCGTCATGTCATTACGCTATTTCACTTAGAAACACACCAGATGTTTTATTTTGGAAATCTTAAACAGAGTGCACCAGCACTTTAAAGCCTTAATTTTCCTTTACCTAATGACTTTACAGCTAGCATTACACTGTAAGATTTTTATTTCACACCTGAGTAGTATTTAAAGAAGAGAAATACTGTGTCTTTTGTGTGTGTTGTTTTTTCTGTAAAATACTATGGGGTCACTGATGAGTGAAAACTGACTGCAATTAGGTTCAGGCTCCAGCAGTATGATAGTCCCTTTCAAATGGCAAAATTTACAAAAGAAGAAAGAACAGATCAATTGTGTGTTGCTGTACCCAATTTAAGTACCACCACATACAGAATTTACCAGCCAATGTTTTCCACTGTATTAGAGCAGTTTGGCTTCATAGCGTAAAAAACAAATAACCAGCTGAACCATTAAAGCCCTTTTCTTCATTTACAATATCAGAAATTTTATATGAGTAAGACTACCATGGAGGTGATGCTTCCGAGAGGACTTAAAGAGATCACAGCATCCTCTAGAACCAAGCACTGTTTTCTCCACTTAGCTTTGACCAGCTCAGCACTCTGTGGTGCACAGATGCATTTCAGTAGAACTGCTCATCCAGCACACAGGACTCAGCCCTGTAAGTTTCTGCACATCCCACTAGATAGGAATCTCACCAAGCATTACCTCAATGAATCCTTAGATAAGTTGGTGCTGCTGTGCACCAGCACCCAACTTCCAAGCACTACTATGTTAGAACAAATACATGTAACTTGTTTGTCATTCCAGATCAACTCTGTAACTGCAGTCAAAGAGAAACAGCCAGACTGAAATCTTAGGAAAGCACTTTTTCATCAAAGTCCCCACAGAACAGGGAAGACTCACTGTCTCTCTTTAATTTCATAACAGGAAAAGATATTTATACATGCTTACCCTCTTGATATAAGAGCTAAAAAGCTTCTACTTAAATCAGTACACAAGTCCAACAGACTTGAAATCAAATAAAGTTAAGCCACTGGAGTTAATGTCTTATATTAGTACTAAGGCAGTGTCTTACTGCACCTCTGTCTCCCACACAAATTCTGTGGCTCACAGCACCCCTGCTCAGCCAGCAGTCAGGCTGCAGATCTCAGTCCAGAGTTCTTGGTGTGCCTCTGGAGAACACTGCCACCTCACCAGCCTCTTTGCCTTTGGGTATGCCCAACTCAAATACGACTGTATTGACCAGCAAGATGCCTAGCACTTTCAAAGCAGAACAGTAGAACTGATTATTACCCGTTTCAAAGAACAAGGCAGAGATATCCCCAGCAGTACTTTAAACAGTTCAACAGGAACTGACTGTGTTTCTCACAGAGCTAAGGGTTGACTGACGCTTGGGATAACCTGAACAAAATGTAAGCCAGAACACAAAATAAAGCATGATTTAGCACTCAATAACAAGAATGAGGTGAATGGAAGAGAGCTACACAAAATAACAAACAACTGCCACAAGGTCACTGTGACAGCTAGAAAACTGCTGATCCCTGCTTAAATGACCAAGAGGATGACTGAAAGATTGTAACAAAACATACAACTCCAGCAGCTCCTTCCATTTTTAGTTATGACACACAACTACCATCTGCTGGACAAAGTGCTGAACTAACCCAATAACACACAAGTGGGGTTTTTTTGCTGTGAGAATTCCTTTACAATCATGTTTACCTGAGGCAGATGCAAAACAACCTGGGATGTGTGGAGACCATATAGTGCTGTAAATGACCCCTTCGTGGCCTTTAAAAGTGCATAATGACTTCCCCACAGCTGGATCCCACTGAATAAAACAAAAAGAAATCTGTTGAGGTGCACATTAGATATGGAAAGAAAGGATTGCACACATGAAAAAGTTTTATACACACAGAAAGGACTAAATTAACCTTTTTTTACCATGTATCATGAAAAGTATTTGTATACTTAAACTGGTATCAGCTGAGGAATAAATTAACATCTCAGTTAAAACAGAATTTAAGCCTTGGTGTGAAAATAAAGATCAAAAGTGAATTAATGCTGTTTCTCAAAACAAATAACTATTCATAACTATTCAACCACATTTTTCACCTTCAGCAGAAAACCAACATACCAGCTTGGCTGTTTGATCCCATGAACCAGACACCACTAGGTGCTCTCCTCTAGTTTGGCTCCAGTCAACACTATATGCCTATAAATGATATAACACCAGTTTAGAAAGAGCATTAGAATACAAGTTTCAAACTCAACTTAGCCAAAGTTTCACACAGTAGACTTGGATTTGCAGATTGCATCATAATCAACTAAAAAACTACACCAGTCAAGCACAGCAAAGCTGCCAACAATGCTATTTACCTAAATAAAATTAAACATCTCAGTCTGGCATTAAAGGTATATGCAAGCTCAGTAAAGCATCCGAAAAAGTAGTGATGGGCCAAAACACAAAGTTAAAAAAATAATAAAGTTGTAACAATATCCGTATAGACCCATGATCACCATAAGTTTCTATAAACAGTAAAAAACTCATAATTCAAACCAATTTCTTATCTCTGATCTAATTTTATTCAAATATCTAGCTTCAAATTGCTAGCAATGTAAATGCCATCTCTCTTCAGGGCTGACTATGGAGTTATCTTTGAGGTTTCAGCTAACAATTAACACTTCTTTAACGACATTTAATTCTCATATGAAATACATGCCATAAAATACTCCTGATCTTTATCTTTTTGCAGGTTCTGTGACACTCTTTTACATTCATATCCTTAAACAAATAGAAGAAAATTAAAAACCCAACTTCACTCATGATTCATCATTCAGCTAACAAAAGTGCATTATCTGCAGCTTTCCTTTTTTATTTTACTATGTCCTGCTTCCCATACACTGAAAGGTGTTTTTCTCTGGCACTATGCTGTGCTATCTCCCTTCCTGAGAGGCTTAGAATCCAAATGTACAAGACATTCAGACAGCACTTGACAAAATCAAATAACAAACTGAGAGACAATTATTTTTTTTGTTTTTCCAAAGCATGCCTTTACATCTTGGCTTTTGTCCATTAAGTACCAGTACTACAGCTAATTAGAACACCCTCCTTGCCAACAATCTTCTGCTAAAATAACAGAGGAGACACACAACTACCTCCTCATATTATAAGAACAAGACAAGTGGCTCTCAGCCTCTGCACAAACATTAGTCTCTCTCCTTCCCCCTGAATCTGTGCAGGAGCCTGTGCTCAACTCCTGTACTGCTGCGATGTGAAATGCCTCTAGGCAGTTATGCCTCCTGCACACAACAGCATCATAAAGTCAGCTCAGCTCAAGTGTTTGGCTCAATACTTTCTAGAAAGAACCATGTCTCTGAGAAATATGCACCTTTGCCATACAGCTCACCTAGCCCCACCTATTTTGGATGTATCAGATCTACTTTTACTCAGCTCTATCTTTGACAGTAAGATAGTGAGCTCTCCCTGACAGTAAGATAGTGAGATCCCACCTGGAGTACCGTGTCCAATTCTGGAGCCCCCAACAGAAGGACATGGAGCTCCTGGAGAGCATCCAGCGGAGAAAGATAATCAGAGGGCTGGAGCAGCTGTGTTTATGAAGACAGGCTGAGAGAGTTGGGGTTGTTCAGCCTGGAAATGAGAAGGCTCCAAGGAGACCTCACAGTGGCCCTTCAAGTGCCTTAAGGGGCTACAGGAAAGCTGGGGAGGGACTTTGTACAAGGGCTTGTAAAATGGATTAAAACTGGAAGAGAGGAGATTTAGGTTATACATTAGGGGGAAATTCTTTCCTGTGAGGGTGGTGAGACCCTGACCCAGGTTGCCCAGGGAAGCTGTGGCTGCCCCATCCCTGGCAGTGTTGAAGGGCAGGTTGGATGGGGCTTGGAGCAGCCTGGGCTGGTGGGAGGTGTCCCTGCCCATGCAGGGGTTGGAACTGGGTGGTCTTTAAGATGCCTTCCAACCCAAACCATTCTATGATTCTAAGACAAAGTGCACATCTGGTTTACAGCTCCCTTGCCAGCTGTCAGCACACAAAGCCTGTGTAGCATATGTGGTGACACAGCTCTGTGTCCATGAAGCAGATGTGGTTGGGACTGACCAACTCTCTGCAGCTGCACTGGCACCAAAGGGATCTGGGCAAATTCTCCTTCAGGCAAGAACTCCAAGCAGAATAGAGAAGTGGCTCAGAAAATGGCAAGAGTTATTTTCCATTTAGCATGTGACAGGTCCAGCTAATGGGAAGAGAATGACAAGGAGATGATGTGGAGAAGCAAGTAAAGCTGGTTTTTATTCCTCATTCCTTTTCATGCTTGCATCCAACATAAATTTAGAGATGCTGCAGCAGAAGCTGTGTCCAGCAGCTGGGACAGCATAAACCTTACCTATTAATCTTTTAGTGATTTACCTTCCATCTTAAAATACATTAATAGTGGTTTATGCCTCCCACACAGCAGCAAGAAACGCCTCAGGCAAAATGAAAAGATGATGAAAAATCGTTGTAAAAACATAAAAATGGTTCAGAAATAAAGTTCAGGCTCACTTTACAAAACAAATTTAATTCAAGCATTCTACTATTTCACATTCCAGTGAGACTTCACCAAAACCAAAAGAAATTAGACGATTTATTAATGAGATTTAGCAGTTGGTTAGTGCTGGAATAAAACTCATTGTCCTTTGACGATGAAGACATGCTTTTAAATTAAAAATGCACATTTTTTGAGGAGGGACAATTATCTCATTTAGAAAAAAAGAAACAGATCCCAGACATTAACACTTTAGAAATATTATAAAATGCAGTGACAAAACTGTAACTAGAAATGTCAGACAGGGATTAAGGACTAGGAAGGTAGCCAATCATTTTAAAGAGCACTGTCTACCAGTGCTTACCACAAAGTATTGGGTATATTCCTCTGAGATCTATCCCCCTAATGCATCTTTATAAAGAATCAATGCAAACCTTTTGTATCACACCAGAAACATGCAGCTCACGTGTCCTGCACTGCCTGTCTAGTTCATGGTTGAGTGCCTCCATCTCACCATGCTACCTGCTGAGCTAAGACTTGGACACAGAAATATTCAGTTCACAAACAACAGATGGTGTAGCAGAACCAAAATAAACTTTTGGACAGAATTTCAACGAGAAAATTATAGAAAAAAAAAAAATAAATTTGGTATCACGCTTTGCCTACATCTTTCTGTTACTACCAGCAGCCTTTGAGCACTAACATAAAATCCTGACCACAGCTACAAACTCATGTCTCATACTTCTTTGTTTACATAGTACATGCATTAAACCAAAGCAGGAAAATGACAAAGAAATAAGGTACAGAAGACAGACTGTCACATAACTGCAGCCTCTCAGCTTTTTTTTTGTATTTGTGAATACAAAACTGGATTCCCTCCATCATTTTTATTGACTATATAACCACAAGGTTATTCTATCCAGATTTATGTCATTCAGATAAAGCACCAGTAAACCAGGCTAAAATGGATTGCATCTAAAGTTCAAAGACTTGACAGAAATCAGGGGAGAATTAGAATGAAAGCACACACACACACAAAAAAAGGGTAGAAAAATCACTTGGAGGAAGTGTCCTTTAAAACATGGATATAACATTTTTCTATACCCACACTGCACTGCATAAAGAAATGGAGATTTTAAGAAAATCAAATCCAACAGTATCAAAAAGTAATCAAAAGACTAAAAAAATACATGCTGTCCCAATATTTGACTACTGTTATTGGAGCAGGATCTCACAGATGCTAGGATGGAAAAGGATAAGCAGTTCCCAGGCACGACGTAAGTCCTAAGGATCTGAATAATATGTATTACTCTACACCCTCAAGGATAACACTGCTAAATGCATCAGCTGTCTGACTGAGACCTACCCAATAATTCTCTAAACCTCACAGAATGACTGCAGGACTTTCATACAACCTACTTGGCCTACAAGAAACAATAAATGCTATTTCTGAAGATCTTAGATTTCTGTAATAAAGCAGTACCTACTACAGCATATGAATGTACCTACGAATATGTACACTTTGTATTCAAAATAACATTAAGCTATAAATTAAAACCACAGAACCAAAGTTAAAAAATAGACAACAAAACCCACTTTTGATTATAAATCCACAAGTAAATTTCTTAATAATTCAAACATGAGATCATTCATGAAGTTTTTCAAGTTTGCCTGGTTTACCTCCTGAGTGTGCTCTTTACAGACTTGCAGGGGACCTTTGGTTTTAGCTGTATCCCAGATTTGCAGAGATCCATCTCCACTAGAAGTGATCAACACATGTTCATTATTCTCACTCCAGGTCACATCAAACAGGCCATCATTCCAGTCAAAACTAAATGGGAATAATGAAGATTTGGTCCGTGAGAAAGAACAACAGAAAAGTCTGGACTAGTTATATGCAAAGACAGTATTTATTTAAATCACCCTCTTTACCATTCTAACCAACAATTTTGTATTTGGGTTTCCAGTAAATCCCATTGCAAGTAACTTACTTGTTATAGTATCAGCTTTCACAACTGTATGCCAGAATAGGTTGCTTAAGTTAAAGCATAAACAAGCCAAACCTTCCACACGTAGATAGTGAAATTTGATTTCAGTCTCAAACTAGCCAGGCAGACACAGAGGAACCACATGTCTCAGCCTGATCTATAGTTTCTCCAGGATGTTGCTACAGAGGTAGGAGCAATTTGCTTCTGACAACTGTGCTAAACAAAGAAATAAAAGTTGTGTTGGGAGAGCTCTATCCAATTCCCAACACCATTAGGAAGCTGAGCAACAATGAAAAACCAACAGAAAGTCAGTCATGAACATATTAAAGATCTCTACACTCCCTTAAAAGGGGCTTTCCAATTCTTCATAAGGGGATCAAATACCATGTGTTAGTTGCTATGAACAACTGTCAATGACCGTGCAGTTATCTGATGGTAAATAGGCACGTATTTACTCCTCTTAACTGAGGGTTCATCTAAGCTCAGGTTAAATTTCATGGCATCCTGCAGTAATGATAAGGGAAAGGCACACACAGATCACTTCAGAAGAGAAAATGACACAGCTTGTGGCTCAGGAACTTACAGGACTTTCTCCCACAAAATAAATGAAGTCATTGGAAACATAGAAATGAACAGTACTAAACCACAGTACTTAACAGAACTAGAAATATTGAACAGCTTCAAAATGTTTTGCTTTATAACTATGAATTAAGAAGTTTCTCTGAATATGATTAACTATTTGTTAAGCATATCTATGTCAGCCCTCTTAATCTAAACAATGGCTGTTTCAAAAATTGCTTAAAAAAAAAAAAGGTCAATGATAGCCAAGTATTAAACCCTCTCCTTCCTAACCTTTCTCCTCCTCCCATCCAGAACACAAAGCAAACTCCCCTCAAATCCTCAGGATACTGGATCTCTGGATTTCCTAGGAAGGGCCTCCATGAGTTTAGGCAGCTTCCTGCTCTACTTTCAGTATAAGTCAGTCATAAGAGCATAAATTTAGGTGGCAACACACTGTTCCTAAAAAGCTAAAACTTTTAATTTCAAGCTAGAGAGGCTGCTTTTAACTTCCATTGTAATTTTCTATAAAACAGTTTACATTACAGGTGCAATCCAGATTACCGCCTATAACATAATCTATGCAATGTAAACCTATCGTTTGTACATACACAGAAATACACTCATATGCATGTAAATATAAAGACACATCCTCAGTAGATACTGTAGTGTGGATGCAATGCTTTTCATGGCTAAAAATAAGTTGTGTCCTGTACTCACAGGTACCTAATAAGTTTTCCTCTTGCAAAAATAAAACATAAAGCAATGTTACCTCCTGAGTAGAACAATCCCAGCTTCATTTTGTTCCAGCACTGCCAGAGTTCCACAACCTAAACCAGCAACACAAAAGAAAACATCACAATTAGTTCTCCCATGCCAAAAGAAACTGTGGTGTTTGCTCTGCGGTAGCTACTATGTGCAAATACAAAGGACATCTGGACTTTAAAGAGGAAAATCAGTTGCATAAACAAACATCTTGTTGTCTCTTATTCTCTGAAACAGCAACTCATTCACATCAGATGGGTTTTGGGTGTTTTTCATAACTTCAGTATTACCCGTGGGTGAGGTCGCAAAAGAAACAACTCACCAGTGAAGCACAAAAGTACATTTCCCTCAGACACAGCAGCCTTACAGCCACAACCTCACCTTGCAGACACACCAGCATGGGGCTCCCTTTCATCTTTATGATAAGCCAACAGACTTTTTTCCCCCCGCCTCTGAATCTCGAACCACAAACACAGCCCTCCAGAAACGCCACCAATAATTCGAAAAGACACAGACGGGCACTGCCCTGCGGGTTGTGTCGCAGTAACTCTACACGCAGAACCTGCTTCGGGAAGGCACCCGGAGGCCGCGCTGGAAAGGGAAAAGGCCCCGACGCCGAGATGAGCTCGGGGCGCCCCCTGAGGCCCCGGGGGGCAGGGCCTGCCTGGGCACCCCGGCTGGGACCCAACAGCGAC